CACGAAACTAAATGCCCCATTACCGTGTTCGTAGATAATGAAAAGCGCCCGGTTGCCATTTACCGTGTACGTAGACCCTGAGGCTACGTGCCCGGTTACCGTGTACGCAGACACTCCGGTCAGGAAAAGACACACACACATACAAACACACAGAGGGACAGAGAGGCGAACGCACAACACCGTGCACTCGAGCACAATAAGCTAGATATCTACCCACCAATGCAAAAGAGCTCCAATTTACTCTGTGGCAATTGACAAAAAGTCAATTTTTGTCAATTGCCACCGCGTCACTCGGTGGCAATTGACACTACCTTTATCAATTCGAAGTGGCTAGCCGTACTTAATGACGGCTAGTCTAGCCGTACTTAATACTTGCGGCTTGCTGCAGCCCGTCAGCCAGGCGCCAGTGGTGCTCTGATTGGCTGTGGTAGGCTAGTGGTGAATATTGTGTTAGGCCTACGATTCCAGTTTTAGCAGTTCGGAAACTTCTGAAACAGTGTTGTAAATATATGAAGCTTAATCTACCCAATCTTGTTGAGAGTTGTGATGGCCTAATGGACAGCGTGTTTGCGTATGAAGTCTTCCAGCGTGGGCTCGAAAGTTTTTGGGTTTTTTCTTTTCTCCTCCCTTCTCTTCCTCCCGACTGACCAAATATTTTTTCCCATAATTATAATTTGTTGTTTTATAGTTTTTGTTGTTGTGATGAAGCCAGCACATTCAGCTCTTTTCGATTATTGCTTTTTCTAGCAATTATAGGCAAAGTGTTCCATTGCAGCCTTACGTCTGCTAATAATAATATGATAATAATAATAATATATAACATTTATATAGCGCATTTCCAAAAATGTAGCTCAATGCGCTTTACAATGGAATATTCATTTTTCAAAAACATTTCTTACTACTTCCTTTCTTCTCATGCAATATACATTAATGCACACATACACACTAATAATTCATCAGATTGGTAAGTGATAGTAATCTTATGATGAATTGAAATCTCTCTCTCTCTCCCTTTCTCCCACTCACACTATCTCTCTCTCTTTCTTTCTCTCTCCACTCTCTATCTCTTTCACTTTTCACTCCGCTCTCTCTCTCTTCTCTCACTCTCTCGGCAAAACAAAAGGTTTGGGGTTTTTTTTGTTCACAGACAGTTCTTACCAGACAGCCCCACCCCCTTTTTTTTCTCGTTCTCTCTCTCTCTCTTTCTTTTTTTTCGTTCTCTCTCTCTCACTCACACACACACCTACACACACACTATCGCTCTCTCTTTCTTTCTCTCTCCTCTCTCTCTATCTCTTTTACTTTCCCCCCCTCTCTCTTTCTTCTCTCTCTCTCAATCCCTTTCTCTCTTACTCGGCAAAACAACTAGGTTTGGTTTTTGTTTTGTTCTTAGACAGTTCTTATCAGACAGCCCCCCCCCCCCCCCCACAAAAAAAAATGCCCCATTACCGGGTTCGTAGATAAAGAGGAGGGCCCGGTTGCCATTTACTGGGGACGTAGACCCTGAGGCTACGTGCCCGGTTACCGTGTACGCAGACACTCCGGTCAGGAAAAGACACACACATACACCAACACACAGAGGGACAGAGAGGCGAACGCACAACACCGTGCACTCGAGCACAATAAGCTAGATATCTACCCACCAATGCAAAAGAGCTCCAATTTACTCTGTGGGAATTGACAAAAAGTCAATTTTTGTCAATTGCCACCGCGTCACTCCGTGGCAATTGACACTACCTTTATCAATTCGAAGTGGCTAGCCGGGTACTTAATGACGGCTAGTCTAGCCGTACTTAATACTTGCGGCTTGCTGCAGCCCCCGTCAGCCAGGCGCCAGTGGTGCTCTGATTGGCTGTGGTAGGCTAGTGGTGAATATTGTGTTAGGCCTACGAGTCCCCGCCCCGTTTAGCCCAGTTCGAAAACTTCTGAAACAGTGTTGAAAATATATTGAGCTTAATCCACCCCATCTTTGTGAGGAGGTGTGATGGCCTAAATGGACAAGCGGTTTTGCGATGAGGCTTCCAGCGGGGGCTCGAAAGTTTTTGGGGTTTTTTCTTTTCTCCCTCCCTTCTCTTTCTTCCGAATGGACCAAATATATTTCCCATAATTATAATTTGT